GAAATGACTAGGGCTCCGTAAAGTAGCTATCTCTAGGGGAGTGATAAATGCTGAAACAATACTCGGCAGAGGGAAGGGATGAGAGTGAGTGTTATATAGTGAGGGAGTGATATGAAACAGCTGGGTGCAATCAGTTTAAACAGGTGTGTGCAATTCGTGCTGAGTGCAATCAGTAATGCATGATGGGAAATGTAGTCCGGGGTGATGTGCAACAGTGTGTAGTGCGAGAGTCAATGAAATGGAAAGTTCGTTGACCGGATTCGTGACAGACTCTAGTTCACACAGTTCCAATAAATTGTGATGGGTTAAATAGCTCGACACAACTCAATATTATTTCAGTTTTTTCTAGAGCATCAGGCTTATGTGAACTTTTTCATTTGTTTTCATGTAATGAAGAAAATATAGAATCCATTCCTGTTAAATTTGAAGTGAAATACTTACATACGAGGGAATTAGTAAACATAGATGAGAGAATTGACAGTATGAAAAAATCCCTTAATCATTGGCTTATGAGAGATCTGTCTATTATGGGCAGAATCCTCTTGACCAAAGCAGAAGGCATATCTAAACTAATTTACCCATGTTACTCTCTTTATGTTTCTCCTCAACTGATAAAAAAGGTTAACTCTAGTTAATTTTATATGGAAAAATAAATCTCATTATATAAAAAAATCTCAGATGATTAAAGAATATAAAAATGGAGGTCTGAAAGCCACTGAATTTGAATCAACGGTTGGAGTTCTTAAACTGAACTAGATTAAAATGTATTTAGCACAGCCTAACTCAATGTGGTTTCATATACCAAAGTGTGTATTCAAGAAAGTTGGAGGGTTAGATTTTTTGCTAAAATGTGATTTTGAGGTTTCCAAATTGCCAAATAAGCTTTCAAAATTCCACAAACAGATTTTGTATTATTGGAAAATGATATTCACCTAAAATTTTACACCGCATGGTTCTACATTGTGGAATAACAGAACCATTACAATAAGGAGAAAGACAGTATTCAAACAAGAGTGGTATGAAAAAAATGTTTTATATGTTGTTGTAGATCTTTTAGATGTAACTGGTCAAATTATTCAACATAATTCATTCATGGAGAAGTTTGAGATAAAATGTTCCTTTAGAGAATTTAATACTTTGTGTAAAGCCATCCCTCTTGCTTTAAAACAATTAATACAAAACACTCTTACGTATTCAAATGTATCTGTTAAATTGCCTGAGTTAAAGATTGGAGAAGTATATATTGGGGACAAAAA